CAAGTGTCGGTTGAACTGGAATATCATATTTCCTTGTTGTAATTCACATGGATCATTTTTAAAACAAACGGAGGGTATTAGGAGAGAAACTAAACGATAATTGGGATGTTAATATGATACATTTTAACGTTTTGTATGGTAGATTGTGATTGGCAGGAAATGCCGCATCCTGTGTGAAAGTTATTCTCCAGTTACTTTCTTTCCGGATCTTTTTTTCTTTTATTTGTCACTTAACACTAAAGTTTAGTGATATTTATATTCATTGTTTGAAAATGTCAGATTTTAGGTTTGAATATCGTATATAGCAAGTTTGAACTGTTTATCTTTGTAGAACACTTTTTATATATCATATTTTGTCAAAAAAATATCTAACAAATCGAAATTATTTCGTCATCTAATAGTAAAATTTTTCAAATAAATATATGAATCCAATGTTTGATGAAACACTGGATTCATATTATTAATGAAATGACCAATTAAATAGTTTTCAACTTGATTAATTGTTTGCATGAATGACCTTGAAGAATGACCTCAAAGAGGAAGGGTAAGTAGGATTTTCTACTCAAAATTTTTCGTTACCAATTCATAAAATTTCATGTTTATGATCAGAATTGTTTATATTATAAATCACTCGATATAAAGATCATCTATGCAAAAAATCGATTAAAACCAACAGTATTTAGTCAGCAAACTATATACAAAGAGATGAATATAATTGTTAAAAGTATTACAAATTATCTACGTATTTGCTACAATAGCTTGATTAAACAAGTTAATTCATTTTTTTTTTTGTAGAGATGTTCTTCACATAGTGATTAATAATATGAACGTTTCCTTTTATAAATACAAAACTCTGTAATTCAAACGCGAATAATTTTGAGTAAAAGTTACTAACTCATTTTTTTAGTAACAAAAAATTGTTCTTAAAATAATCATATAACATTGCAGTGGACAATAAAATAATGAAAGTAGAAGTTTGTAGCTAGCATTGCCCAACAAAGAATGTGAAATCCAACGTAGGCTAAAACTCCCTATTGGTTCTCGATTTATGTTCCTTTTTAGGCGTGGAAGGGAATTTCAATTCTTTTAAGAATGATTAGTCTCGTCACTTAGTATAACGGTTTAATGATATTATTCACTTGTAAGTGAGAGGTCTTAAATTCAATCACTTGCGAAAGACGAATTTAAACAACATTATTGCTAACCCATTTGTAAGGCTCAACCTACCCCCTCACCTTTAGTGTAAATGATACTGTTTGTTCAAATAAAAAAATGGATTACCCTTGTCTTCTCCCTTAAGTACGCTATTTTTACAGGATCATGTGATTGCTCGGTCAATAAAAAAAAAAAAAAAAAAGTTATATATCCTTAAATTGCAACGTTAATTTGATAAACTTACAAAATCAAAACTAACACAATTTAAACTAAAAAAAATCAAGAAGATTTTGAAATAAACCACAAACTAAGCTTTCTTTTGAATGATGGTAACATTTGCTACCTTAAGATTGGATGATGGTGACAATTAATTAACATTACAAGTACCTTTCTTAATTAATTAAGCAAGCTGCAATTTAATTACAGAAAAAACTTTGTTGCTAAAATTAAATTAAATTGTATCTGTATCAAGTTGGGCTGTTATCAAATAAATATTTTGCAACATGGGATGTCAAATGATCATTTTTTTTTTTTTTTTTGCCAAAAGTTGGATTAATATTAAATACAAATCGAAATGTTTACATCAGATACCAAAGTGTTAAACAACCATTTTGGTTCAAAACCATCCTAAAAATGACTACCCCCCATACCCACGACATAAGATGTCACCATATGCGCAGCCTCATTACAGGCACGAGGAGCATACAAAAACTCAATAGCTTCAAATTGTTGCTTTAAAATACTTATATCCCACAAGATACCATCCAAAACCGCCTCTGGTTGTATACGGTCATGAATCATATCAACAAGAACCTGGGAGTCAGTCTCCAATTGTATAGAGGTAAAGCCTCTCTCCACACAAGCCACCAAAGCCACCCGCATTGCTTCCGCTTCCGCCATAATACTTGAGACACAAGGAATTTTTCCAATACCACCAGCACCATTGAAAATGCCCACAAAATCCCTAGCCACCCACCCAACACCACCTATACCCGTATGACTACACCATGTCAAATGATCAATGACTCATAAGTTTTTGTCAACAAGTTTAATTAATGACCAAAAAAAAAAAAACAAGTTTTAATTTACACACAAAGTTGGTTTTCCACAAGTTACCTAATATAGATTACGTAGGGTGGCTTTTGCAGCAATTTTCTCTCCATTGCCGGATTTAATTATACCGTATAGATGCGGTATTTGCACAAGTGAAACGATTTCTTCACAACGCTTTTCAGTTTTGCACGTCCTTATTTATTTTTGTCTTTGATTCTCTTTTTATTTTTTATTTTTTGTTTCAATTAGACGGATTAGATTTTAAAACCCGTTTAGTGATATTATTAACGGATAAGATGCTAATATAGGTGGTTTGCTAAGCGCTCGTTTTTTTAATTTACAATTGTTCTTGTTGTTTAACCCAAAGATAAATGGATGTGGATGTATGTGGAAGAATGAGGATTGAAGCATGGTGAATGAAGAGGTAAAGGGAAGGGGGAGGAAGAAATGAAAAAGAATGTAAGAAACAAAAACTAGAAAGAAAGGAAAAAAATCCTATTAAAAAGTTTTTTTGTTAGGATTCCATCGAAAAAGTCATTAATTCTTTTGATCGGGATTTACATTGAAAATAATCATGTTTGTTAATTTATTTCTTTCTATGGAGTTTGTAATAAAAAAAATTAAAACAAAATTATTACCAAACAAAATGTTTAATTTCTAATTGCATTTTAATGCTTCAAGTAACATATTGCATGTACATTAGACTTGATTAGTGGTCTCACCGTCCTCACCAAAAACCAATTGTCCACCGTTTTTTCAGTCACCAATAGCCTTTGAGTCGAATAGGAGCAAAGTTTAACTCGTTATCTTCTATCACGATGCGTCACTATATATTAACTACTCAACTCTTTATGCAAAAGGATCCTCATTTATTTTTTTAAAAAATAAGGATTATGTGTGAGGTCCACTCCACATCGAATTTTAACGATCCGATTCATAAATTATCCTTGCAAAAATTCAATTCAATCCGAAACTATTTCCCTATTTAATTATCAAAATAAAATTTCATTGTTTCTTATATAACAAAGTATTCGATAATTTTTTTGAACCCAATTATATGTCTTAAATATTTTCGATTTGGTTAATATTTTGCAAGGATGGTCTATGAGGTGCAACTTGAAACATAGACAGTTCGGATTGTTAAAATTCGATTTAGTGTAGACCCCACAACTAATTCCCATTTTTATAAATAAAAAATAAGGATCCCTTCCTTAAAGGCTTCCATTAACTATTGGCATATGTCAAGGGAACTTTTTTTTTTTGTTTTGTTGTTTTTAAAATGGAAATGGGAGAGGTAGAGAGAGAAAATGTTGAAGTGGGGAGAGAGATTTTTCCTTTTATTTTTTTATTTTTAAATTAGAGATACGTTAGGATCACATATGAATAAGATTTAAAATAAAATAAAAAACAAAATATAGTTTGTGCAAAGTTACTTTCCTACCCATGATTTTATTTTGTGATAGAAGACTAAATTGTATTTTCACTCTCTTTTGGTTGACAAAGAAGGTTTTATTAGATAGCAAATGCAATAATTTTTTTTTAACGAACGATATTATCTATAATAAGGGGGATGGGTGGGTTTAGCCTCATAATACGCTAACAATAATGTGATTTAAATTCACATTTGGCGAGAATCGAACATAAGATCTGTTACTTCCAAGTAAAGATGAATATCACTAGATTGTAATAATAAGTGACAAAACTTTTACGAAATCATGTTTCTTAATGATATAAAATTACTCCAGCTACCTCTCAATCTAACTCTAAGAATTAATATTTCTCTTTCATAATATTAGACTAGATAATAAAAAGGGTACTTTAATGAAAAACTACATTTTTACACTAAAAAGTCAATCCTGATACTATTCACTTTACTCTTTATTTTGTCTTTATCGTTAAAACTTAAAGTTTTCAAGCATTTTTCATTAGTTTTCCTTAATAAAAATCCACGGTGTCACATTCATTGACATTTAAACGACGTCAAGAATTGTCAATGCATTTAAGCTATTAATATGCACGCGAAAAGACGTAAACGTAAAATCATATATAGGCCCCACTCTACATAGTGTCGAATGTGGTTTTGAATGCTTAAACTGTTAGAAAATAGTAAATAATAGCAATGGTTATTCAACTAAAAATTTATTTTCATTAGTCACTTTACTCATCAAAACGTATAGCTATGGTCATTTTCTTCAACTTCGTCAGAATTTTGTCAAAATAAGTTATGTTGGAATGACCATTGCTATAATTGAGTTATAGTTGAGGGACCATTTCTCTAATTGAGTTAAAGTTGAGGGACCATCGGTAATAAATTTTTATTTGAGGGACTATAGATGCACGTTTTGATGAGTTGAGACCAATGATAATGAATTTTTAGTTGATGGACCATTACTCTAATTGAGTTAAAATTGATGAATCATTGCTACAATTTACTCGTTGAAAAATAAGCAAACAATGCAAACAATCAACAATATCAACATAATACATTAGAATAACTTTTGCTCTAATTAAACATGTAACACAATAATCGAATGCAATGTTCATAGAACAAAAGCACACATGGTAAAAAGCTATATATTTACTATTTACTATTTTAAACAGGTCGGCAGCGGTCAATGGGTAGTTGTTGGTTATTAGACTCGTAGACGGGTGTTCCCACGTATGAGACACCGGAACGATAGTAGAGAGAGAAAATATCTCTTGGCAGCATCAAAGTGACCGGCCACCGAGGTAACCGGTTGATAAAAAAATAAAAAAATTGTTAAAATATATATCCCATCCGCTTAAAATGGGTCTGAAATGTTCCCTCACCGGTCCTATCAACACGCACTCTCTCTGTGAGCGTATGATATTCTCAGACTCTATGCCTCTCTAGCTTATGGTTATGGAATCACAACACACACAGCTCAAACGACGCCGTTGAGATTTCCACTCTCAACCCCTCAATCGCCGCCGACTAATGGAAATTACTAGTCCACTGGCTTAGAAAACGACGGCGTTGCCAGCTTCCTGTTTTACTTTCTCCGGCGATCGCCGACGCACCGTCTACTCTTTCTGTATTTCACGTTTGAGCTCCGATCACGTGCTTCCCGGTGTATGTTAGTGGTGTCTGATTCGGTCCATCTCCGCAGTCCGATTAGAGCCGGAGATCGACGGTCAGCTGAGTGGGGAGGGCTGAAAGTGTAGAGCCGGAGCTAAATTTGGAAGAACCAAATTTGATATAGATAAGAGGAGCTATGTTGGATCTTAATCTGAACGTCGTCGTTTCGGGGCCAAACGATGTCGAGTCGTGCGGCACTCAAATGGACGAGTCGGGGACGTCCAACTCGTCCGTTGTCAATGCCGACGCTTCCAGCACCAACGACGACTCGTGCTCCACACGCGCCGCCAGAAACGACGCCGTCACAACCTTCAACTTCGGTATTCTCAAGGTCCAGGGCGGAGACGAAGAAGAAAACGACGACGTTGTCGTGACCAAGGAGCTCTTTCCGGTCACCGGAGGCTTGAACAATTGGTCGGGGCAGGCTCACGGGCATGGGCAGTCCTCTTCATCGTCGCTTTTGGTGAGGAAGAATCTGATGGAGCTTGGGTTCGATCTTGGCGGCTCCGGGGAGGTCAGGTTGGTTCAACAGAAGCAACAACAACAACCTGCTGCGCCTCCGCCGCAGCAGCAGCAGGCGAAGAAGAGCAGGAGAGGGCCGAGGTCGCGTAGCTCTCAGTACAGAGGAGTCACCTTCTACAGAAGAACTGGTAGATGGGAATCGCACATTTGGTTAGTCCAGTTTTGATTTACTTAATTTAATTTAATTTTTGATGGGTTGGTTCCTTTTGAGTTGATTTCTTCAATTTGAATGCAATTATGCAAATGAATTTTTCCAAATTTGGTATTAATCCGATTTGTTAATTTGTTTTATTAATTTTTTATTGGGTGCAGGGACTGTGGGAAACAAGTGTATTTGGGTATGGATTTTTGACCTTGTCTATTTGATTGACTTGGATTAGTGTTACTAATCCAATTATTTGTCATGATTTTCTGTTTGGAATTTTTTTGAAGAAAATTAAGTGTTGGATTTTGACATATAGGTGGATTTGACACTGCTCATGCTGCGGCTAGGTAAAAAGCCTTACTCATTTGTTTTGCTTGGATTTGCTTACTGTTTAGGAATTTAAATAATTTGATTATTGTGGGAACTGTTTGTATTATTGTTCTTAAATTGGGTGTTCCCAATTTAGAGCCTACGACCGAGCTGCGATTAAGTTCAGGGGAGTTGATGCTGATATCAATTACAACCTAAGTGATTATGAGGATGATATGAAACAGGTTGGATGATGAATATGTTTCTTTTTTAAATTTTGATTAATTTCGAATGGGGAGTGGGATCCGGTTTTAATCTTTTTTTCTTAACCAATGAGCAGATGAAGAATTTGACCAAGGAAGAATTCGTGCACATACTACGTCGGCAGAGCACTGGCTTCTCAAGAGGCAGCTCCAGATATAGAGGGGTTACGCTGCACAAATGTGGTCGATGGGAAGCTCGAATGGGACAGTTCCTCGGAAAAAAGTGAGGAATCATTTTTATGGAGTTTTCAATTTTGTACTGAATAGTTTGGGTCTAGACCTTATAAGCATAGTGGCTTGGTTTGAACTTTGAGCTGAGAATTGGTTTCGAATTAATTCTCAATCAGTTGTCAGTCTTCTCTTTTCGTTGTCTGAAAAAAAAGTCCAAGTGCATATTTCAAAGAAAAAAAAATAAACATTGTGGGGACGGTGGTTTCATCATGGAGGTTACAATGCTTCATGCAGGTATATATATCTTGGGCTATTCGACAGTGAAGTAGAAGCTGCAAGGTCCTAATGTCATGAATTACGCTCTACCTGATTGAATTTATTACCCTGAATTCTCAACCTCATTAAGGTTCCATCCAACACATCTCTCCCTTTTGATTTTTCTGGAAATTAGGGCTTATGACAAGGCAGCGATCAAATGTAATGGAAGGGAAGCGATCACCAACTTTGAGCCAAGCACATATGAAGGGGAGATGATGTCTGAGGCTGGTAATGAAGGTATAGTTTTACAAGTATTTTTGCGGTAGTTGATTTATTGTTGTCAGAAAAAAGTTAAAAAATTTGTCTTCGTGGGATTGTACTTGATTTTTTTGTTCCTATAAGCAGATGGCAATCACAATCTTGATCTAAATTTGGGGATATCTCCCCCCTCATTTAGCACTGGTCAAAAGGAAGGCGAAGGGCGTCTTCAGTTCCACTCCAACCCTTTTGATGTGCACAATGGAAAAAGGGTAAGATATAATTAGTTTGATACATCAGTTCCCAAAAAAAAGATAGTTTCATCTTGAGAAGCCCCTAGTTCATAAAGTTCTTGAAGGGATGGCCCTCTTGAAGGTTTTGAGGTTTTAGACTAACAAAATATCCTGTTGCCTATCTTAAACGTTTCTGAAATTCACTCGAATGAACTTGGAAAGTGAAGGAGGAGTTGTGATAAGAGGTCATCTGTTTTCTTTCTCCTAGCTGTCAATTTTTGGCTCTCCCTTTCTAAACATGCTTGGTAATGCTGCAGCATTTCACCCATATCTTGATGCTAAAACTAAACATTCTCTTCTGACTTTGCAGATGGAGCACAATGTGAATGTAACGATGAGTGATCCACCTTTTAGAGGGCTAGTAATGACACCAGATCACCCACCACCATTGTGGAACGGTGTATATCCTAGTTACTTGCCCAATCAGGTGAGTTTAAATGCTTTGTCTGTAATGACACAACTTAAGTCCGATTCGATTAGCTTTATGACTTTGTTTTAATCCTTGGACCCTACGGGTACCCTTTTTCAAATAACCATCGTAGCTCAACCTGTACATACAATGTCATATTGATAGGTGAACATAACCAATGAAGTTACCCGAGAAAACAACTTTGTAGCTAAGTTTTAACTATGCTATTGTGCAAACATAGTATATAGTAGGTTTGGACGGTTTGTATTCTATGTTCTATAAGAGATGGTAAATAATAACATGGCTACAGCGTATCTGTTGTAAATGTTCGTAGTTTCGTGGTCTATACAATATCAAAAACTTGGTATGGTAAATGCTGAACTGTCTCAACTGACGCTGCTGAAATAAGAATCAAAACTCTCTTTCATGCAAAGAGTGCCTATTCCTGTTTAGGTCTTGTTTATGTGTGGCATGAGAGGAAGTTGCATTTCGTAATTGTATGAGATCTTATAGTATATTGGGGAACGAGGATGAAGATATTTTTTCATTACATAAAATATGAGGAATTTTCTAACGAACAATTTGCTCTTGAATAATTTTTTTGTCAGGAAGGAGCAACAGAGAAGAGACTTGCATTAGGATCTCAAGGACCCCCCAACTGGGCTTGGCAAATGCATGGCCAGGTTACCCCAATGCCACTGTTCTCAACTGCAGCATCATCAGGATTCTCATTTTCAGCTAACGCTCCAGCCGCTGCTGTTCACCCCTTACAACCCTCGAACCCAACCGCCCTCAATCTCTGTTTTGCTTTGCCAGCCACGGCTCTCACCCACACAACTCAACAATAACATCACCAAGCAAAAGCCGCGGCAGCCTAAGTTCCCTTCAAATTCAGAGACCAACCATAACAACGGGTGGCCTTGAGATTTTTTGTATGATCCAAATAGAGATTCATACATACACTGCAACTCGATTTCTGACTCTCTTTCCTGTCTTTACCACTCAGTTGGATATATCGGTTCTGTTCCGCTCCATTGATTTGTATTTGTTCTCAGAAATATTTTAACTAACTTGAGCTCTCATGTAAAGTATCAAGTGGTTATTGTGGTACTTACATCTAAAACTACTCTTGTTCAGAAAGAGATTCTTAATAATGAACTCTTTTAAGATTGTTCTAGTCCAAGGTTCGTAACTTCTCCAGCTTACAGGGATTTTTGCTACGAACAGTCGTCCACACGCCCTTTAGATGCGTGCAGTCAAGATACCGTCTACGCCAAAAGCGTGATGGCGGTCTGTAGAAGTACGGCCTATGCATTGGACATTCTTAGTGATAGTTCTGTACATAATGCTTGATAGTGGGAAGAGGAACAAAATCGAGAGGGGGAATTATTTCCCGTTGCTTTGTAGTGAAAGTAAAAGCTTGTGAAAAAGTTGACATGAAACTTCAGCGCATCTCCTTTGCATATGCTTCTTCGTGAACTCTTTACAATTTACAACAATCCTTCGTAACAAATGTACATCTGGAGATGCTCTAATATAGTCATGTCTCTTCATCAAATTGCTTTGGCATATATTAATATATGTTAACGGGTGCACAACTTGGTACGACAACAAAACTCATGAAATATGTCAAAGAATAAACTAAATTTCTTTTGTATGCTTGGTGCACTGTTTTTATCTAAAAAATTTGAACTTTCAACATTCTACTTTTGGATTCGCCACTCATCGTAACCCTCTCTTTTTTGGTTTTTGGTTTTTTTTTTTTTTTTTTTTTTTGTGTTTTGTTTAATATGTCTAGACAAAAAAGTAAAGAAAAAGAAAAAGTAAGTGGACATGCGAGTCACATGAGAAGACAGAAAATTGGCCATCAAAGCACATGTCGAATGATGTTGCTGCTGCAGAGCACAGGTGTCTGTCTATCTTTCAACGAAAATAGTGTTTTGCAAAAGACAACACACTTTTTGCAGAAAATGAAAAGACAACACTGCCCACCCCATATAGGCATATACCATGTAGTTTGGACAAAAGCAAAAATGAGCATATTGTTGTTATATTATATGATCATCATTGTATGCTTTGCGTTGGAAGCCCTGCCTCCCTCCACTTGTACAAGATAAGCATCCCATCTTCCTCTCCCTCACAACCACCAAAATAGCACCCCAAAACTCATTATCATTTGCATTTTAGTATAAGAACTTCGACATTAAATACGCTTTTTGAAAACCAAAAGCGTTTCTCTTTGTGTTTGACAGAAAACCTACAAGTGCTTCCAAATTAAACCTTTGCTTCCTGGAGAAGCACTTCTAACTGCTTTTCATGAAGTATTTGAATCCTTAATAAATGTCGATATTTTTTCAAAAAAGCGAGCTTATAAACAAAAGTACTTCTTATAAAAGCAACTTTAAATAGACTAGTTAGTCTTAATTAGTTACTGCTAGAGATGGCAACGAGATAGACTGAGTTCAGATGTGCCATCATCATACTCGAATTCATTTATTTTCCTCGAACCTGAACCCGTAGAATCCCCGAACGGGTTTTCTCCATAACCGAACCCGTCGGATAATGGATTTTTGATCGGGGAACAGTTTTCCCCATTATGATATTTATATGTTTATTTATATTATTAACTAAATGAAGAATATTAAAAAAATGATGTTAAATAAATTGCTATTATTTTAAAAATTTATATTACTAAGAATACATTTACATTCTTAAAAATTATAAGCATACAATTCCTATTATTAATGATATAAAAGTAAATAATTAATTTTATATTTAATATTTTTTTATTCATAGATGAAGTGGTTCTGTTTCGAGTATAGGTTTGGGGTGGATACCCCAATAACCAAAACCGAACCCGAAACCAAAAAATTTACCCATCTGTTACCCATAATCATAAAATACCCGAAATTTTATACCTGAAACCGAACCATTCAGATCGGTTACTTGCAGAGATCAAATTTGACGGATTAAATTGCCATCCCTAATTACTACAACATGCTTACTGCTCCCACGACAGCTAAGATCAAGTTTTTATATCCATAAATTAGATTAGAATATCACTTTTCAAAACCTTCATTTCTTTCTCACATCAAAGTTTGCGCCAAAGTGGAAGACCCAATTGGTTCTTACGACTATGATCCACTGTCCCACGTAAATTTGGTCGATTTGAAATGCTGGGTTAATTAGCAAGTGACTTTTAACTTATTTGGCTAAAAGCATTTATCTTTACGTCTGAAATTCTACGCTGTGTTCAACTTTCCTAATGTAGATATCTTATTGTTTGTTAGGAAAAATAAATAAATAAATAAAGGAAATGTTGGGTGCTCTTAGACAAACACTAAATACGTGGCATTGAGTAGGACAACCCACTTGGTGGAAGACTGTCGATGCTGTTGTGGGGCTTGGTGGGTGAGATTTCACTTTCCAAAAACAAAGAGACCAAAAAAAAACAAAGAGCATACGTGCTGAGATCGTAGAGGTACTGTTGAGGAATAGTTAAAGTACATGTCATCTTTCTCAAAATTGTCCAAAATGATTGATTGTGGTCCGCCTGCCACTTGCTAAATATACTCCAAGATACATGTGTGCCGACGCAATTTCTAACAGTTTTGTTCCTGCCAAAAACGAGTCTAATACTTCAATTATTACCGACATACCGTATAAAGAATAGAAAAGTACCAAGGAGACTCTCTCAGGGACTCTCTATAGACTCTTCGTCACCTCATACTTTTAACACACTTTTCTTGTAACATTATAAAATATTATGGCAAAAATATGCGATGACGGAGATTCTGTGAAAAGTCTCACTTAAAGAATCTCCTTAGCATTTCTCTAAAGAATATAATAAGAACAATTTAGTCTCTATAATTCTCTCTTGTTTCAATTCTGACAATTTGGTGCTTGTAATTTTCTAGTTGTTATTAGTTAAATAAACAAAAGATTTAACCACAACAAGTGACCCATTGATAAGAGCGCGAATTCTGCCTCCTAAAAATACAAAAAAACAAGGAGATCTTGGGTTCAAGGCTCCATGCTTGTGAGTCTTCTTGGTTGTGGCTAGAGAGAGGCTGAAGTGCCTCTTTAAGTCTTCCCGGCCTCCAAAATGAGTGGATAACCGGTGATTTTGTCACCGGTTATCCCCTTTAAAAAAAGAAAGAAAAAAATAAAGAACAGTTAGAATTAATCCCCCTATTTTTTTCAACTCCCCTTCCCTTCCGTTCATAAAACAAAATAAAAATCGAAGGCATCAACGCAAAATAAACAACCCTCCTTGTTCCACGCACTAGTATCTTACTCACCAAGCAATCATCTAACAGTCGAATACAGTCAGCAACAATTCCTAACAATATAACCGACTACTAACTAATCTAGCCATCTTGGCCGTACATTTGGACAACCCTGACGATGCCACCTGGCATCATAACATAAATCAGCGTTTATAAGTAGAGCCAAAGGCTTTTACTAGCTGGTTGATTGCATGGGCAACACTCAATAACATGTCAATGAGCTTGTCCTCATTGTCCACACCTGACCACATCGAACGCCGAACGGCCACAAAGTGACTGAGGAGGCCGTCTCATGTAAAAATAGGCCACAAAGTAGGCAAGGCTGGAAGAGAATTCCGACCAGTAGTTGTACCACAACCTCGAATCAGCCCAAAAGCTGCAGCACAAGCGGATCGAGGATAGTACCGCAGCTTCTAGTGACACAAGGTACAAACACATCTATCTTCCATTCTAGATCCACATGTACGGGAAAATATGTCGATATACCAGCAACAAACTGCTGCATCAAAACCCACATCATGAACTAGAGAAGGAAAAGAAAGCTCTACTTATATGCAACTCAATCAACAAAATATAACTACAAAGCTTTCTATTTTGTTCAGAAAACCACCAATCAGAATAAGTTTATATACCGAATTTCGTTGGTAACCTTAGTTACAGCACACACCCCAAACTCGGAATATAATTGGACGAAACGAATTACCTTTTAATTCCCAATCACTCATAATTTCTGGTCTCAACTTTGCAACACACAATACAAACAGAAAAGCAAAAGGAGAAAGAACAAATAAAAAAGGTGTGATTTATTTATATCCGTTTTATCATGTTGAACAGTTAACGCGGTATTAAACTCCCAAAAAGGGTCAGATTTCATCCATCTAGTTGTGAGAGCAACAATCAAATATCAGTACTGCAGGGAGTTGAATACTCATCATCGGGATGATCAGCCGATCGGAAATTGACCATATACAGCAACCCACAATACAATCTTAGCATCAAGCATTTATCGCCCCACCTGCAAAATGCATAGAGGTTAGAATCCAAACTCAATACAAGATTAAGCAATCCACACCAATTTATAACGCAGCACTTCTACAAACAGAAACAAAGGCAGGCTTGCAGGCCACAGATTCTCACCGCAACAAAGAAGAAAGCGAGCATCTCTGGTTGCAATTGAAAACAGAGTGTAAAAGGAAACCACTGAAAGACAATAACAAAGTGTGCAGCAATTACCCTTTTAAAGTACACAGGGCCCTCTAGAATTATAGGTTACTATTTAAGGAAAAAAAAAATAGATGGACACAACCGACCACATAACCCTGCCAGCGAAAAATTAGTTCCATGCCCCTACTCTAGATGCCCATGGTAACCAAGTAACCAACTAGTACAATTAAATCTGTTTAGATACCAAAAAGAAAAACTCAAGTATTTAATTCTTACCTGCAGGATTACAGACCCCAAAAGTACGGGAGTTTGACCCTACATTACGCTGCGGAGAGCAAGACCAGTTACGAGTCAGTCCCATCCTTGAGCACAAGGTCACAACACCACAGCCCTCGGTTCCTCCACTTGAACATTCCCCAAGCCATGGAAATCTATTATTTTGCATTATTACATCCCAAATGTTCTGTTATACAGATCGCCTGAACTGGGCATCCGAAACTTTGATTCTTCATAACCAGAATAAAACTTGTTCAATCCTAGTCTCTCATTTCTCAGGAGCTCTGCCATACTTACATTGCTTCCACCCTGGACCTCATTCCACCCATCCCAGTGGCCATTTGACATGACCCGGTTTCTGGACTGTTGGAGGGACATTTGAGAAAAAGGAGAAAGATTGCTAGCATGGGACTGCTCCAAAAGCCTTGAGGAGATCCCATAAGAATCATTGACGTGAGAAAAACCATCCCCAAAATCAGGATATCTAAGGTTTTGTTGTGGGGCGAGTGATCTTTGCATCAATAGTTGAAGCCTTGCATCGTTTTCATACCCACTCAACTGCGAAGGAAAATTTGATCTCATTTCTAGGCCTGGGTTGTTAAGCCCACCTTGCAGTCTCCCCTTACCAACTGCCAATATAGCAGGATCCATAAACTCAATATCAGCAGAGCTCCCAATATTTCCATTTGCCTGAGGTTGATATGCGTTTCTCAACAAAGATGAAGTACCATACATATGATTCCCTGAGAAGTAGATAATGAGATCAACACTTAAACTGTTAAACATGTACAAGGAAATGCATTAGTAAGACTAAAACTAAAATGTATTTGTTAACCAACCAGACAGAGTATCAAAATCCTGATCCACTCTCTCATGAGAAGTAAAGCCTGGAGGTGGCGCCCTGCTTGGCACAGAGAATCCAGGAGGAGCAGATATTTGAGCCCTTGAAACCGCTGAAAGATACAAATAGGGTCAGAAACCAAACTAAGCATTAGAATGAACTCGGGGGCAGCACAAAAGAACAAAGTAAAATAGAACCACAATAACAACAATCAGCACAGACAACTAAGGTTAAACCCAATTTCAAGTATTAGCAGAATAAAAAAATAAAAAAAAAACGAATTTGCACAAAAAAACCAGAACTGTCAATTACACCACTGACATATTAGAGCATGTATAATGTGTTGGGCAAGGGCTGGAGTCTAGAACCAAAATCTAGCCCCTCAAAATGATGATATAACCTACCAATATATTTTGGTTCTAGAATTGAAGGGCTAGAGACTAGGATTCAAAATGTTAGGTTGGCTCCACGCTGCCCAAGGCTTGGGCTTGGGCTTGGGCAAGTTTGGCTTCACAAGGTGCTTAGGCTTCAATTTGACCAGGCAACTTTTGTTGGCAACTTGGGCTAGAAGTTGTGTTTTTTTTTTTTTTTTTTTTTTTTCAATTTTGGGCAAGACTATCAATTTGCCTAGGCCATGAGGCTCCCATTAGATATGCTCTTTAGACAATGCAAAGGTCTGAATATGGACTTTAAAAGAATTTCAATTGCTAAACAGTCAAGGATCTACTTTCTCACACCACTATTGAAGATGGAAACAATTCTCAGACATTAGCAAAAAGGACTCGGCCAGAGTGTTAGAAGGCGGGATAAAAATATATCAATGAGTGACATGGGAGAGCAGATGATGAAAGGGATCAATAACAATAATCTTGAGTTCATACAAAACGCAAGCCCACTGAACATCAAGAAAGAACATCACCATAAGATATGCCGACCCAACAAAATCTTTAACATTATATGAGGCACAAAAAGAAACACATGACAAACCAAATGAAAGGCAGCAAATAACGTAACAAACCAAATGGAAGGCAGCAAATAACGTGAAGCTCAATAAATATGAAATAGAAGAGAGTTTTCCATAAATCCAGACAATACTCACCAGAAAGCTTGTTAGAAGAGAATGCTAAATGATTTCTGGCATGACTTTCAGATTCTTCAAAAGTACTAGATGGGAAACCATTTCCAATTCCTAAATTATCCAAATATAGATCTCTATTTTCAGAAAAGCCCTGATGGACTGACTGGTTATTAGAAAACTGCCCATCGACATTCAGAGATGACTGTAAATCAAATGCTTGATTTTTAGCATCCTCCTGTCTTGCAAAAGAGAATCTGGACTGATTATTATTTTGTACTTTCCAAGGACTTGACATTTTGAGCGCTCCAGACTGTTTATCAGTTTCACCCAACAATTTGGAGAAATGCTGTGGTGATGTTAGTGAGTCATCCCATGTGTCAAAGTCCATTGATAATATATTTGAGATTATGCTACTCTCTCCCTTGTCAGCAGCAGTACTGAAATCAGGATTTGCTGCATCATCCAGGAATCTTCCAGTGTGCTTCCCTGGGACTTCATTTGGAAGAGGATAGGGATACTCCAATGGCCTCCCTGAACCAGAAGATCTGGTTACCATGTTTTCAGGGTAACCATTAGATAAAAGTGAACTATCCCTAACCTTGTTATCTACAAATAGACAATCAGCATTGGAATGAACTGCACCATAAGCCTCATTATGCAACAAAGGGGGCCTAGAGTGATTTGGAGCATGTACTGTATTAGGCAAACTAGGCAAATATGTTGACCGACTCACTTCTGGATCCTTGAGTCTTTGATTGTCAAAAGACAGCACATCCTCCTCGACTTCAGAAGATGTACTTGGCACTAGTTGGGGTTGTGACTCTAACATCCAGTTGGATTGTTCCTTTGTAATACACACCCCATTAACCGATGTGACAGCTTTCTCACCAGTTGATGGATGATCTCTAGACTGCTCAGCACAATATTGTTGGTCCCGAGGCGATTTAATAAAGGAGTTATCTGAAGGTGAACTATTAGATCTGGCTACACTGGAATTTCCTAACTTGGCATTTCTATCAATGCTCATTAAAGGGATATCAGAGCATAGGTTTTGGACCACTTCTTCAGTGAAAACAATGTTTTCTTTTTCATGAGAGGAACTGTATGATAGATGGTTGGTAGGATTGCTAATGTTTGGTTGCATGCTACTGCCTCTATCATCTTCCTTGGATACAGATGTCGCAAATAATTGGTTGCTAACATTCGCAGAAGTAGAACCTTCATCAGGTGCAGCAGGTACGTCAGACAGATCATTTTGACAATCCACACCACTATGCTGTTTCACAATCTTCAATGATTCTGGTTTACATTTAGCATGCAAAGTCTGACTTTCTTCATTTAATGCTGACCTCTTTCCTCCTTCACTATGCACTGTAGATAACTGAACAGAAGCACCAGTTGCTGCAGAATATGGCAATGTGCTTCTGACTGTATCAGGTTTCTGTTTAGAATGTCCATTTGAACTTATTATATGTGTAGCTGGTGGTTGGCAGTTTGAACCACGTGTTCCCCTGCTATGTGCATTCAGTACATTTAGAATTTTTTATTACAATCATAAAACAATGTGAAGGCCAAAAACAAATAACCAAATACTACCATGAGGCTGCAGCTGGGAGAGCAATAGATCTACCAGAGCTTCCATTTGGAGGAGAACCTCTAATAAGACTTCCAGTATTCTGCCAAGTTAAGAGAGAGGAGGGGAGATCAGAACAAGGAAATATGACTCAAACTTGCAACTTTTAACCAGCTATTACTGAATCTTAAATATCCAAAAAGCCTAAACTTGGAAACTTGTCGAATTCACTACCCCAGAAACCCATAAAATATATCAACTATATCAAGATACACATGGATTTTCAGGTCAATCAGGATAAAAAATAAAAAAAGCCAATAGTAATGATGCCAACCAGCTTATTATTACAACCCATAAGTTTCCAACTTAAATATGACACTTACACTTGATCCATTTTTAATAATTGGTCCTGTGGCAGAAGCAGAACTGGTGTTGCAATAATCATCTAGTGGTGGAGGCAAAACACTCCCCGAACGCCGTTGCATACTGTTTGCTGTACCAGTAATTTGTTGTACCCTACTCCTTCAAACAGTTATGCAATTATTAATCATCCAAGGAAAACACCATGTAAAGTTTATTGGAAAACACAGATCAAGAGAAAATATATATAAATAAAAGTTAAAGGAAATGTAGGAAGCTATTAGAGCTAATTAAGGTATAATATATTTCTCACATTCAGTTCCACATATATCTTCAGTGATCATATGATGAATGAACTTTTGAATTTCAATGCAGTGAAAGAAGGGCCTATATCAATATTTATGGAATGGGTTTATATGTGAATGCTCATCATTCGTATAAACACCACGAAAAGCATTAAGCTAACTAAAGGCGTTTATGTACAAAAGAGATTGCAGGTTAATATTCTAGACTTATTGCAAGTGTTATAGCTTCAGAAGAGCATACGCATTGTACCCCACAACTTTTTTTAATGCCTCTTGAGGAAAAGAAAGATTTTTTAAGGCTCATCTCATCGATAACATACTTCTAGCATAAGCTTTGGAAAATTATGCAGTAATACAAAACTCTTCCAAAAACCCCTGATAGACTATACAATCAACAACAGCAGAAATTAACAAAAAAGATTGGCCAGGGTAGAGAACTAAATACCTAGTGTATGCAGAAATTATTTCATCTTTAGTGAAACTATCCTCCTGAGACCCAACCTCATGCAGATACAAACAATCAGGATTGGTGCAAGGCTGGAAATAACAAAAAGTCAATCCTCAACTAGATTGTTTCAAATTCAACCGAGCTACATGACACAAAATTCCATAAGACAGATAGACCAAGTAATGATTCATACCACATTCCTCAGCCATGCATGACAATATTTTGTGGTCCCAAAGCAAGCCCTGGAAAAAACATACAAGGATTAATATAATGCCAACTTGTTGAGAGAACAAATTTAAATTACTCTAAGCATGCATGTACCTCAAAGATCTACCATCCAAGAGGAACCCATGTACATTTTGAATACACCGAACCGCTTCCTCCTCTTTTGAGTATGTAATATATCTGCACATAAAGAAAAATTGAGAAAAGACACTAAGCACACAGGCTATCAGAAGAGTGCAAAAACTCAATGCTAAATTGGAGATAGGAGATCAAAAATCAAACATTACATCAGTTAAACCAAGACACTTGCTGAATGTACTTTACATCAGAGAGGAACTAACACTGACTGTAAACAAGCATGTTAACATAGCGTTAACTTCAATTTAAACAAAAAATATTTTCGATACTAGGAATCAATCGGATTGTATTCACTCATTTAGTTTTAGGTAACAGTTAAATGTAAAACTGGAGACCAAAATACTAAAAAATTGCAAAAAAAAAAAAATACCACTTTGTTTTCTATTAAAGGGAAAATGGTAAGTTCGGTTTTTGAAACGCCAAAAAAATTGTTTTAAGTTATTAACTGAAACTAAAATATAAAGCACTATTGATTAGACTAAAACCGAGAAGAGGATCATTACACTTCCAAATTTCAATAAGTTTTTGTAACCTAATCTAAATTTCTTAAGTAACAAGTACATCAATTTAAACAAACTCTATAAGACATGTCAATGGACGAAAATTAACCAAAGATCATTTATGCAACAAAAGTAGTTTAGGGCCAGACATGATTAAAACAGGTTTACTTACACACTACATGTATTGTTTGGAAATTGCTGAATGACGCCAGCTGCTGTTCGAGACATTGAAACTTTTTGAACCTTCCCATACTGACCAAAATATTCTCTGCGCTGCAGAAGCTGCATAACAGATGCTTAAAAAATAGTGAGTCTTTACAAGCCAAAACAAAGAAATGAGCTAGCAGCGCACTAACATGTCCAACAGCGAGAGAGAGGGAAATTACATCTTCATCTGCCAGATTAAGAGGCAACCCAACTATGTAAACGAGGTTCCGTTGAATCACTCGCACAGTAGTGAGCTGCTTCCGCCCTTCAGTAGATTTGACTTTTGCCTTCTGAGACTTCATCTTTTTCTCGCTGTTGATTTCTAAAACCAGCCTGTGGGCAAAGATAGATTGAGAAAGGTACAAGCAATAGAAATACAGATGTTTCTTATCACAATAAAGTTGGAAGCAATTATCTATCTAATGAAATAAAAGATTGTTCCTGGATTAACAACCTCTCACACTTTCCAGCTGTTCCTACAATCTTTTCCTTGTCATAAGGATTGCGGCATGCAGGACACCGCCCATCTGTCTCATCCTTCTCAGCCATGTCCATTATGTGGTGCCAACACCAAACACAAATCTGTGATCAAGTAGAAAGTTTCTACATTATGCAATCACGAGAATACAAAACGTGCAAAACTTACACCTCTCAAAGTACACAAAAAGAAACATAGATTCACAATTAACAATTTCAAACACGCATTTACAATTCAGAATCCACAGAAGCAAAGCGCGGAGGAAGGGATCATCCAAAATATCAATAGCACAAATTTGGAATAGGTTCAGGGCATCAGAATAAATAAATAAATAAATAAAAACACATACTGACCCAGATACAATCATACAAGTAAGGGGAAAGCAACCCTCAAACAGCCAAATCTGTCCAACTTTGAAAGGAAATGAGGAGGGATGGCAAAAAGCAAAGTTTGATACTTTAACACTGTCCTCAATCCAACTACTCAAGAGGGTTACATAAGGTAAATTATATTTTTGTTCTTCATCCCTTTCCATCAAATTTCATCCCTTTATCTTCCCTAAGGTTCTATCCTGTACATCCATCCCAACAAACAAATTGTGAAAGATTAACTTTATCAAAAGAAACTGTTTACTTCTCCAACAGTGGAAAAAAGAGTTTCAAATATCACTGAATCAAGATGAAGGGTACACTGCATATACAGGAACACTCACATTACCAGAACTTCCTCCACTAAAGCCACGAAACAACAAAGACCACTTCTTAAGTTTGGAAAGGAGGGACCGACAAAGATTCCAGAAAATGTTTCTACAGAAGCATAAGACATTTGTGGAACATAGCCAAATAACAAACCAGTACAAATACTAAAGTTGGATAAACAGAATTTACACATTGAAGAATTGGACCCGATCTAGTGGGGTCAAAGGTTTTTCATTAGTATTAGTGGTCGACTATACAGAGACTCAATAATGCTTTGCATCGCCATGTTCAGGAATTATCTTATAAATTCCTTCATCTTGCCACTAAACTTCTGAACTGGTAAACTCACATAGGGCTGTTATGTTATGTGGCAGAAAGAGATCACAATTAGTTAATCAAATAGATTAGAACTTCAAAAGCTTAAATGATTATTCAATCAGAAGTGAATACTCAAATGACAATGAGTAATATGATGCAGTTCAAAATCCATCTAAGGCACTATCTAGAAAAAGGGAACAATTATCCCCCAAACCTCCCTCCAACACCCAGAGATATATATATATATATAGAGAGAGAGAGAGAGAGAAAGAGAGAGAGAGAGAGAGAGAGAGAGAGGGTTAGTGTCCCAGACCTCATAACCACATTTGCAAGGCTTCAATTGCTGATCTGTCAAATCCATCTCCTCCGCGCAAAGAGGGCAAGTCTTTTCTCCCTGGTCACTCATGATTACCTTAAAAATATTTCAAAACAGTGTTAGTAGAAAAACAAATGGACAAGACTCAATGCAACCATATCACAGCGACATATAATAGTGGGCATGCCAAATAAAAAGCAAAAGAGACAGCAGAAATTGCAAATAAATTCAAGGGTGGTGCTACTCACACAACCCTCTCAATTTTCGGCCATTGGATCGAATTCATTCAAGTGAATTGAAGAAGATCAATGAACAAAAATTAATAAGGGTGTGTGGGAGGTAAAAGGGGGTGTTTGAATAGCACTACTCTAAATTCAAATGTTTAAATGCAAGAAAAAATTAAGCAGAAGGTATGTTATAAATATGACAACGAGGAACCTGACAGAGAAGGACTCGACACAAACACAATTAACAAATTTCCTGTAATTACTTTTCCAACCATGAAAAATGAAGCAAACGTTGAATGTAGCAGCTCAAAGTCACCCATACACATTATTTTACAACAAGAGTTTGCATCGTGGTAGAAGAATCACTTCTCATTCATTTATCTGTATTCACATTGCGGAAACAGCCATATACAAGTAGCAATTACTTAAAACAAAATCAGAAAACTGGCAAAACCCTAGAAAAATCCCAATCACAGTAAACCAGACTAGCATAATTGAGCTCGCAACAGTCTGCAAAATCCCCAAACTGAAACCCTACAACCCGATTAATCCATCTAGCGCCATTTTTACATTAACAAACTCAAAATTCAAATCAGTCCCCAAAACTCAAATCAGATCGGAATCCAAAGCAAAGCAGATCAAAATCCAGTACCAATTACAACAACAAAAAAAACACAAGATTTGAAAAACATTAATACAAACACACACAATAATCATCAAATTACAGAAAAATACACAATTAAACACCTAATCGGAATCGTTGACATGCAACAGAAGGAACGATGCAAATGGACATCAATCAGACAGCTATAGCCACGGACGAATCAACCAAACAAACTAATTTGAAAAGAAAAATCGAAAATTTAATCCATTTTTATATAAATGATAAAAACAATTAGGGATCTGGGAGATTGAACGGAATGATGATCGGAGGGAGGAAATTAGGGTTAGAGAAGAGAGCGAAAGAGCGAGCAGAGAGAGGAGACTTACAGTTCGGGATCGAGACGAAGAGGACGAATCTGTAAGGATGAGATTGTGGTGTGAGGATCGCAACGCAGCAAGAGAGGGAAGGGGGGAGGGAGAGAGAGAGAGAGAGATAGAGAGAGAAGAGCTTGTTTGGATGATGGGCTATTTGGCAGCTCTTTGGCAGCTCTGCGCGTCGCTGTCAATTAAATATTATCGAGTCCGAAAAATGCCCTCGGATTTTGATTTAACTACCGACATTGACCTTTCCTTTGTTTCCCGGACCCCAACGTTGGCTTTTTGTTTTGCTCTTACTTTTCCGGTTTTGTCGAACTTTGGGTAGGGAACCTCCCTTCCTCTGTTCGTCTTTTTATTTTATTATTATTTAATAAAACGATATTATCTACATTGAAAAGTGAATAATGAGCTAGATTTCAAAAGAAATTAATAATAATGTAATTTAAATTTGTCAAAGATCGAACATAAGATCTCGCATCACAAGTGGAGAGAAAAACCAGTACTAAGTGGTTGTTCATCTTTTTTTTTTTTTTTTCTTTTCAGTTTTTGTTTTTTTTTTTTTTTAATTAGGTGGTGTGTTGGATTTTTAGCATGATGTATTTGGTCTTTATCCACCCCATAAGATTCCACTTATTTTGTTCACATTTCTAGTGTTTTTTTACGTTACAAAAGGAAAATATGACATTTGGAATGGTTTCCTTTCTAACAAATTCAGCGAATTGAGTCATCTCAAAGGGTAGAAAATGTTATTTTGAGATCCTCACTTATAGATGCATAAGTCAGTTCTAAGTTACATATTACATGTACAAAGTAAACTTGACGTGCTTTGTGTTGACGGGATTTTGAACACGAGATGTGGCAGTTAAGTCTTCAACTTCATCACTTAGTTTGGTAGAACCGTAAAGGCCTCTTCATATATGTTCAATAAATTATTACTCATTCTGGCTCATTTTAAACACTCTGTCCTCTAAGTTGAAATAGTGGACTGACCATATCTCTAGTGATACAAAAACACGATTAGCATTAGTTTTATTTTGAAGGGAGAATCGATCTAAATCTAATCATGGGAGTTGTTATTAGCACTTTTTTGTAGATAATGTATAATATTGTCAACGTCTGTAATTTCAATTCGTTTTTTTAAATATTGAGTTTAAAGTGTTTTTCTACAACTTGACTTAAGTAAAGACAATGACTTTGATGGGGTATGAAAATCTATCAACAATTTGGTGGCAAGGATTAATCCTCACTTTTAAGAGTGATTAGCTCCTTGATCTTTCAGTATAATTGAAGTTTTATGGTCCAAGATCTCAGTTGTCCCACTTCATCAGCATAGTATAACATTTTCACAAAATATTTGTAGAAATCTCATGATTAGGAATGCAAATTCGGCCGAAATGGTGTGATCCAAAACTCAAATTTCATGTATGGTAACCAAATTTCACCGGCCCAAAGAGGATGCTAAGGTCATCTCCAACCGAAGGCTGACCAGAGCTCCAAGAAATTAATATTTTAATGAACAGTGCAAGACCGTATTTCTTAGATCATCTCCAATCGAAGGGTCCAAATGGCCAGAGGGCCAAAAATGACCCGAAAACTGTCTCCAACTGAGGGTCAAGCCAAAGGGCTCGTGGACCCCACTGGACAAAAAAGCGCCAACCGGCCTGTCCAAATAAGCCAGCCAACTGGCCCCAGGCAAGGCCAGGATTCAAAAAACCAAAGGTTAGCGGCTGACATCAGCTAGCTGTTTTTTTTTTTTTTTTTTTTTTACAAATTTATTTTAAATTATATATATTTTTTTCCTATAACTTCTTAAGCCATTATACAACATTAAATAACATTAACCAACATAAAAATTATACAACATAAAAAAAACATTTAACAACATGAAACTTAAACAACATTTTTAAAAACATTTAACAACATAAAACTTAAACGCCTACTCCATGCTTCTTTTGGCCCAAAGATGTGCAACAAAATCTTGTTGTGGGTACTTATTTGTGGCACGAGAACATATCATCATATGGCTCCTCATGTACTCATTTATAGAAATACTACCAGTTCTTGGATTGAAAGGCAAATTAGGCCCATCATATATTTTTGCATGAACCTTTCTTGACCTATTTGGATCCTATTGGTCGTCATCCGACTCTCCATCAATATACCCATCTCGCACATCCTCCACAATCATGTTGGAGTCCAAATTTTCTCGACTTCACCCTTTTGCCGATTTCTTGATAATCTTCCACCGTGCTTGTAGAACACTAAAAGCTCTCTCAACATCTTTCTGGTATGCCTCTTGGTGTAAGGTAAAACATTTTTCGGTGTCATTTTTAGGGTTTGGAATTGCTTGGACAAGTGTTGCCCACTTTGGGTAGATGTCTTCTGCCAAGTAATACCCCATATTGTACTGACGACCGTTGATGTAGTAGTCAAGTTGAGGTGATTTACCTTCTGTCAGGTTATTGAAGAGGGTTGAACGCCCAAGAACTGTAATGTCATTTTAGGATCCAGGGACTCCAAAGAAAGCATGTCAGATCCATCTTTCATACAAGGCAACCGCCTCTAACACAATAGTTGGGTTTCTCAACCTTCTGCTAAAGCCTCATTGCTATCCGATGGGATAGTTCTTCCAATTCCAATGCATGCAGTCTAATGACCCTATCATGCCCGAAAATCCACGATCTTCAGCTTTGCGAATTAGCCAATCCAGATCTTCTTGATTTGGCTTGCGAAAGTACTCTTCTTTGTAAAGTTGAACTATTGTGTTACAGAATTCAGCAAGAGTATCAAGGCATGTAGACATAGACATACCATGGGTTTCATCCATCGAATCAGCTAGGGAGGCATAGGCCATCATTCATAGTGCAACAGTAACCTTCTGATAAGGTGAGAAACCAATGCGGCCTGCTCTATCCAGCTTCTGTTGAAAGTGTGGATTGACCTGATGGACATCATAAAGTAAACGCTCAAAGACATGACGCTTAATCTGGAAGTAACATTTGAAATCATCTTTTTTGTACACCAAGTTGGGGTTGAAGTAGTTGTTCATCAGATTGGCATGTGTCATCGCTTGTTTCGTGGTTTGTAAGAGCGACCAGCAATAGAGCCACCCCATTGAGGTTGTTCCTCAGTTAGTTGACATATCATGGTCGCAGCCATGGCTGCCACATATTGTGTGTTGCGCCATGCTTCATCTTCTTCATAAGACTCCGCATCTTCTTGTCTTATTTGCCCCCATTTTTCTTCCAATTCGGAATTGGATGAAGACCCCCAATTGGAATTCGAAGATGATCCAAGGTTGGAATTTATTGTAAACTTGAATTGAAAGAGATTGAAATGAAATAGAGTGAATTCAAAGGTGTGTGAATTATAACCCAATATCCATCCTATTTGTAGCAAAAAAAATTCAAATCCAACGGCTAGCTGATGTCATGTTGACATCAACTAGTCGTTGGATTTGAATTTTTTTGGCCAAAATTTGTAAAAAAATATTAAAAAATTCTCAATTTTTTCCTATAAATTTAAGTTGTTGTAGTTTTTAAATTTAATTTGTAGTTTTTAAACATAAGTTGTAGTTTTAAAATTTAAGTTGTTGTAGTTTTTAAATTTAAATAATAAATTATGTTTAGCCCTCGGTTGAAAATGATTTTTTGTGACAGGACTTAAAATGAGAGGGTCGAAAATGCCCAAAAACTGTCTCCAACCGAGAGCCAGGCCAAAAGGCTTGTGGGCCCCACTGCACAAAAAAGGGCCAAAGGGCCAACCGGCTGACCCAACTCAACCAGTTAACCAGCTTCGGGCTAGGTCAGAATTTTCATTATTCCTGTTGGTTATACCCGACAACAGTGTACTTATTCCTGTTGGTTATATCCGACAAGAATGGTAGTCCAAAATTTCAAATACAACGGTTAGTTACTGTTGGATTCAACTTTTTTTTTTTTTTTTTTTTGGGCCAAGTTTTTTTTTCTTTTTTTTTTATGAATTTAATTTGTAGTTTTTAAATTTAAGTTGTAGATTTAAATACAAGTTGTAGTTTTTAAATTTAAATTGTTGTAGTTTTTTAATTTAAATAATAAATTATGTTTGGACCTATAGCCTTTTGGCCTTAGGTTGGAAACGATTTTTTGTAATTGGGCTAAAATTAGTTCTATGGCCCACGGCTGGAGATGGAGGCAAATATAGCCCTGTACTGTTCATTAAAATATTAATATCTTGGAGGGTCAGAGGGCTAAAATGAGCCCTCAGGCTAGCCTTCCAAGATATTAATATTTTAATGAACAGTTAGCCCTCTGGCCCTCCAAGATATTAATATTTTAATGAACAGTGCAAGGTCATATTTCTTACCATCTCCAACCAAGGGCCATATGGCTCATTTTAGCACTGTCACAAAAAACCGTTTCCAACCGAGGGCCAAAAGGCCATAGGGCCAAACATAATTTATTATTTAAATTTAAAAACTACAACAACTTAAATTTAAAAACTACAATAAAATAAATATAATAACTACAACAATTTAAATTTAATATCTATAAGCATCATGATCTTCATCATCCACCATTGTAGAAGTATAGTCGGAGGTAAACAACTGGTCATAATTTCTTCTTTTTTTCCTATCAAAATAGGTTTCACTCATTGGACAGTAATTCGAAGTGTTCATTTTCATAGTCTTATCATCCATTTCTTCTTGTATTTGTTGGTCGGTTCTTCATGCCTACGGTTCCTTTCTTCCGCGGCAAAGGCATTTTGTTCCGCCATTAATTGCAATGAGGCCGTCACTTCTTGTTGAGCAGCGTAATCATCATTTTCCTTGCCATTTTCCTTCACCCTTTGGGTCTTGTTTTGTCTCATAGCCCTAGGTATGGAACTTTCACCCGAAGACGAATTTTCTACCCTTATTTGTTGAATGGTAGGAGATCTATCATCATCCATATCTACAGTTGAAGATGCAGTTCCGAACACCGGCGTAGGACTTACTTTATGTTGAGGTGGATCTTCAAATAACACCTACCTTTTACAAATTTCTCAACAAATGTGATGCTGAAAGGGTTTTCCAGCTGCCCTCCATATACAATTCATCCGCTTGACGTACCTAGAAAATATAATTACAAAAATTAAAGGAAATTAATTTATGAAATTAAATGTAATATAATTAAATATTTAAAATAAAT